GGCGTCTGACAGTCTGACGCCAGAGAGAGAGGCTTCTAAATTGAAAAGGTCAATATTAATCCCGAAAATTTCAAATTGATTGAAATAGAATGCAAATGAGGAAAATCCATCAATTTGTAACAAATATTAATAAGAGTAATAAGCGACACCAAGGGTTTATTAATTCCAATTTTTAGGATTTTAGGAAAATATCATTTTGCAAAGTATTCGTTTATAGGTATTAGGGGCGGATAATTATGAAACAATTTTGACATAATAGTTATTTACATTACAAGTGCGTTTATGAACATGATTACAAAAATGGTGTTCTAAGGTGCTTTCCAGTGACCCATTTGAGTTACTCCTGAGCAGCTGAGGAGTGCTCCACAATTACTTTGCGCGTTCCAGTGCTTAGAGTGTCGTACACTTGAACTACTCATTTCTGTTATCCCCTGCTTCCTCGTGCACCAACCTTTATTTCGGTGTTTCATGCTCCTGAAGTGCGAAATGGTGGGGGTTAAGACGGGAGCGTTCCAGTGCTGCTTGTGTGGAACAGTTCAAGTGCGTCACACTCCAGGAGCATGATACTCTAACAATTTAGGCACTGGAAAGCGGCTCTAATCACACGAGTTTTGTAGTCATGTAACGCACGCATGATATACAACTTTTTATCTACAAAGCGAAAAATAAGATTTTTTTTTCAATCATTTTCGTTCATTAGTCGTTGTATACTTTTATTTTACCTTTACTGGTTTATCTTTGACATTTGTCAAATCACCAAAAATAGTTGTGTTATGAATTTATAACCTTGTCCATAACACCACTGTGTTGTGAATTCATAACCTAGTCCATAACGACCATAACACAACTAGTTGTGTTATGAGCCTCATAACATAACTCAAATACTGGAAAAATAGTTATGTAAAAACGTCATAACCAAACGCTTGTAGATAAAACTAAAAATTAACTTCCGGAATTTCATAATAATTCCAGAAGTTAACTTCTAGTTTTCTGTTAAAACAGTTTTATAATAGCCACTTTAAGAAGGACAAATGTGGAGATATTTATTTGGGATATATTTTTTAAGATTCCGCTCAATTTGATTGCAACGATTGTGTTTTCTATTGGGAGATTAGGGCCCAATTACAATTACAGTATATTCGCATCTGCAAATTTGCAGTTCTACAAATATGATCAGTGATGCCAGACGTACGATAATTATTATCGTATTTGTACAATAATTACAAGAGGGTACGATGTACGATCGATAATGGATAAACGTACGATAGTTTCTGAATGTTGATAAATTTTGAAAAAAATACACTGAAATCGCTGACCTCTATTAAAAATTGAAATACCAGCTCTTTTTTCCAGTGCCTGAATTATTACAAGGGGTAGGGAAAACAGAAATGAGTACCTGTTTTTTTTCTAAATGTTTTTTTAATAAAATTATTTTTTCTACGAGCGTGTGCAAAATAGGTACTTTGTACACGCAGTTGGTAGCGCAAAATTTAATTTTGCGCACTAGTGCGGACAAGAGTTGATTTTGCGCACTAGTGCTGACAAGATTTAATTTCGACAAAGTACCAGTAAAAATATTCATGTACCGTTAAAAGGTCTGTTTCCACAGAAATCACAAACCAGTCAGAGCGTTTTTGATTGGATTGGTGCAAATCGCCAACAACTAGTTTTCTGACTATTTTTAACGAATGAAATTCGGTCTGCATGATTTGTGATTTCTGTGGAAACAGGCCTTATGATTGCATGACATTTGCCGTCAGTGTGTATAGGTCTGTCACGTCAGTGTCAAACAAATGAATTTATCATCTTTTCTTTGGTCGTTATTTTAACTACATCGTGAGCCTAAGCCTAGATACTCGCCAAAAAAATGGGAAACATTGCAGCAGAAGAGAACGAGGAAATACAACATATTTTAGATAGAGCCGCCAGTAGTGATGTAAATTTTGGATACTTTTGAATACTCGTACCGATTCAATACTTTTGATATCAATACCCGATACTTTTATTGGATATTGAATGGGTACTTTCAGTATTATTTGGTCTTCACAATACAAGTGATTTTTTTACTTTTTTATTACAGAGGTCATTGATAATAGTTGATTGTACCTAATAGTTTTGGGTACCTACTTCCATATTATTTATAAAAAATTACAATATATCAGAGACCATCAGGGATTTCATGAAACGTAAACAAAACTTCTTTATTTTCATATCAAAATAAAATTAATAGTTGGGGAGCTGGCGTCAAAAACATGCAAGAGTTTTCGCAAGGCGGATATTTTCAAAATAGGTCGTACTTTAGTGTTAGAACGCTAGTGTACAGTCAGCACTCACAGTTCCGGGACAGCTGGCTCTGGGACACGGGCAAAGTTCTAATTTTGAGAAGCATCTAAACTGTTTTCTCAAAGCTCAAAATTTATAGATATTTTGCACATTATCTGTTTGAAGGTCACAGATAACGTATGTAAATCGTCAGACGTCTAGTTCGTTGCAAAAAGGGGGTGAGACGTCCTCAAAGTTTTTATTTTATGGCATTTTCTTCGGTGTCCTGTCAAAATATATTTTTGCAGGTAGGTATTTGACAAATATATTTGAAGAAAATGCCATAAAATAAAAACTTTGAGGACGTCTGACCCCCTTTTTGCAACGAACTAGACGTCTGACGATTTACATACGTTATCTGTGACCTTCAAACAGATAATGTGCAAAATTTCTATAAATTCTGAGCTTTGAGATAACAGTTTAGATGCTTCTTAAAATTACAACTTTGCCCGCGTCCCAGAGCCAACTGTCCCGGAACTGTGAGTGCTGACTGTACACTAGCATTCTAATACTAAAGTACGACCTATTTTGAAAATATCCGCCTTGCGAAAACTCTTGCATGTTTTTGGCGCCACCTCCTGGACTATAAAAAAATATAAAATAAAATATAATTTGACAAAACAACAAACTAAACTGTATATAAATTAAGGTGGGTTCGGCTTGCTCACTCCGTGCACTCCGAGTGACTCCATTCGCACTCTAGCCGTTCGGGTTAAGGTTCGGATATTGCTTTCTACCGTATTATTACAGGTGAACCCAGCTTTAGAAATTAACTCAATTTTAACTGCATGCATATCTTGCAAAATAAAATAACCATAAAAACAATTGCAAATATAAATAACAAATAACGCGTATATCAAAGAAACCGCCACTGCTTTCGGCAAGCGTCTTCGCTCTTTATTATACCGCGTCGCCGCTTTTTTTGAAAAGCGTAATACTATACAATGATAATAGGTATAAAAGTATCGAGTATTTTGAACAACAAGGATTCGATATTTTGGGTATTTGGCAAATACCCGTTACTTTGTATTGGGTAGATACTTTTTTTACATCACTAGCCGCCAGTGCCTGCAGTAGTCTGTTACCCCAAAGGTCATCCGAAAAATCTCTCCATATCGTGCACAATAATCAAATAAAATTATTAGTTTTTGGTTGTTTTTGAATGGCTATTTTGAATCTTTTTTTTAAAAGTTTATTGTCTCATTTTTTATTCTTATAAATTTTCTCGCTCGTAGAAAAAATACTGTTCCTGACTCTTGCGCAAATTGTCTTGTTCGCATTCGACTGCTGCCCGAACTCTGCTTCGCGTCGTTCGGTCAACTGCAGTCAACGTGCGAACAAGACTTACTTTGCGCACTTGTTAGGAAATATACTATTGCAGATACAATCTAACTAACCCCTTCAATCAAAGGGGGCCACCAGCCTCTGATGACGTCATACTGGTGAAGTCAGTTTCGTACGATAAAATCATACAAAAAACGATAATTTCTACAGCATTCTACCATAATTTGGTTTTACTCATCTGGCAACACTGAATATGATCAACTTTTGCAGGAATAGGAACGAGCAAATTACAGAAAAAATTTGCAATGCCGTCATATTTATCGAAAAAAAGTGTTTGGGTGCTACTGATTTGCCAGTTTTAAATGTCAAAGTTGACAAAATGATTACAAAGGACTTACGGGACCGTTTCCATGCGCAAACTTGCAGGCGACTTGTAAAGGCCGTTTTACAGCTTGCAAGAAAACTTGAACGCAATTTGTTGCATGCAAAATAATTGCATTCAAGATCTCTTGCACATCGTTTTACACCTTGCAATTTGACTTGTTTCCTTCTCTAACCTTAACCATAATTTTTTGTTTTTAATGTTGTGTTGTTGATGTTTGCTGTAATGTCCTGAAGCCCTCAAATAAAACTTCAGCTTCTTTCAGTCCTTTGGTACGATATTTATTGGTTTACAACGATACTTTTGGGGATACATCAAATATACGGCAATCTCTAGTTCGGCAGTCGCAGACAGGCTCATCAGCTGGGCCTTGGTGATGGGCCAATCAATGTTCTGCGCGTGTGCGCCAATAGAACATATTAAGCGGGGTTTCCACCACGACATTTGCATTTTCCAAAAATAAAAAAGTGATTATAAGTCGATATAAAAAGAAGAAAGCAATAGCAGCAACTTTAAGCATCATAATTGCTAAAAATTCCCCAGCTTGCACGAAAACCTTCAAGTAAAATGGCACCAAACCGATTGCATGCAATGCCATTCAAGTTTCATAAGAATCTTGCAGAAACCACTGCAGAAACCAATCAACTGACGCACTTCTGCGCATGCCCTCGTTCAAGTTTCTTGCATATTGCAGATAAAATTGCAAGCTGTAAAACGGCCTTTATAAAATGCTACTGTGATACGATAAGCCAGAGTTGCAGGTTCTGCATTTGTATCTTGGTGTTGCAGAGCTTCTGTAATTCCGGGCTTCATGCGTAGTGAGTGTATGTCCATGTATGCTATGGAGACACGAACATAAAAATTACTGAAGAACTCTCTGTTCAAACTTTTAAATTCATACTCCGAACAGTAACTGTAACTGTACCGCACACCAAGTTATCGAACGTAGCCTTGCTGTCAATTATTGCGCATGCTTCGCTCATCGCTACCACTTGTCACTTCAGTTGTTAAATTTTTAAACAGTCGAACGAAGTTCGTTTGCACGGCACTCGCTGCGAAATCACAGAAAATATGGATTTCCTAAACGATTTCAAGACCCTGGCCAAAGGCGACAAGATCCGCACCGACAACAACATATTCAAGTTGCATTACAAGTTTTCGGTGCTGCTTTTGATCGCCTTTTCAGTCTTGTTGTCTAGTAAACAATATTTCGGCGATCCGATTAATTGCGATGTGGAAGCTCATAAAGAAACTGTCGAAGTTTTTTGTTGGGTTACCGGCACTTTTGTCATTGAGGATAATACACCAGGTAAGAATTTATTTTAGATACCTACCTATTTTAAATAACAAATTCAATATTTTATTGTCATACTCATAATATAAAATCTTCCAAATATGATGAGCTTTTCTTATGTTTTTGTTTTTTGCATTGTCTTCGCAGATGTTTGCCTGCCTATAAAAAAAAATAAGGAAATAAATCCAAATTATACGATCCATACATATTATAATTTTTTTAGTCGATCGGGATTCGAAATCGTCATCAACGCGCGGTGTGTTTTTTTTTTTAATTTTGTTCAAATGTTATCACAAACTTAGAAGCAAATACTTTCGCTCAAGTTTTTGAGATAAACATATTCAGCTTTATTGCAGCAAAAAGAGACGGAGGTGAAAGTACTGAATAATAAAAATAATAATGATCTTTCTCTTTGAACAATAAATACCTAATCGGGGGGTTTATTCACAGGTCCGTGAAGTTGGCCCCTAAAGTGTTCAATTTTTTTTGGAAAAATATGTTGTTTGTTAGTGCTTCGTTAGTGCTTCTTAGTGCTTCAATTGTTTTCGTTAGTGCTTTTTTCGTTTTCTGTATATCGATTTTTTTGTAGTTTCAAGGTCAGCCCTAACAATCTGTCAAAATGAACGAAATTTAATACTATGTTTTAGTGCTTCGTTAGTGCTTCAAATAGTTTCGAAAGTGCTTTTCTTATTTCTTAGATATTTTAGATTTTCACTTCAAGGTCAGCCCCCAAAAATTTTCCGAATTACCCAATTTTGGTGTCAGTTTTTAGTGCTTCGTTAGTGCTTCTCAGTGCTTCAAACAGTTGCATTCGAGAATATTTACTTTTTGAGATATTTAACTTTAAATTTTCAAGGTCAGCCCTCAAATTATATGGGATTGAGTTAAATCTAGAGTCATTTTTTTTGCGCATCGTAAGTGCTTTTCAGTGCTTCAGATAGTTTTCTTGATGCTCTTTCCGTATTCTGATTTTATTTTAAAATTACCACCCAAACTTGTTCCAAAATGTACAAAAAACACAGGGACGCCACTGGAGCCAATATTAGTTTATAGTATGGAGGAAATCTAAGGTGCCGGTGCGCTCTCTATCTTTCTCTTTTATGGTTATTTAGTTGTTTTGGAAAGGTCTATTTTAATTGGTCACTGTTTTAGCTGGCGCGATTTCGTTCGTTCAGACGCAGTTTTGACTGGCGCTTTTTTAGCACCGGAGCATCTCACTCCGGGGTAACTCGCCTTTGTTTTAAACAGAATGGCTCTGTCATTAAATAGCGCCCAACGAGGAACTGCACTTTACAAGTTGGATAATGGCATATTTTTAACTATCAGTAAGTCAGTATCAGTAAATTTGATACCTGTGTCATATTCGATATATAATACGACTCCTGGGCTGGGATCACGACGAGTAGAATTCTACTTTCATGACGTCATTCGCGACCTATTTATCGGGTACAGTACAGGCGATGATGATAGTTGCTAGGCAACCTGACGTCATGAAAGAAGAATTCTAGTATAATTCTACTTTGCGTGATCCCAGCCGAAAACTCACGCACTGGAGGTCGTAGCTTAGAATAATTCAAATTTATGATAAAAAAATATTGTTTAATATTGATCAATATAATAGGCAAAGAGGAAGATGAAAACGAGATCTAAATAGAGAGTTGTTTTAGAATGTTAATAATTAATGTAGTAAAACCGTGAATAAAACCAAGTATGCATTAAGCCAAAGCCCGCGGAATCATAACCTTTAGTGCAAAAGGCCTACGTCCATCCGAGAAAGGACATGCCTACGTCACAACTGGTGATTTGGTGTATCATCCTTGCTATGAACCCATGTTGGCTTCAGTGGCGTTCCTGTGTTTTTTGTACATTTGGAATAAGTTTGGGTGCTAATTTTAAAATAAAAAATACTAAATAATCAGAATACGGAAAGAGCATTAAGAAAGCTATATAAAGCACTAAAAAGCACTAACGATACGCAAAAAAACGACTCTAGATTTAACTCAATCCTATATAATTTGAGGGCTGACCTTGACTCAAAAAGGAAATATTCTCGAATGCAACTGTTTGAAGCACTGAGAAGCACTAACGAAGCACTAAACACTGACACCAAAATAGGATAATTCGGAAAATTTTTGGGGGCTGACCTTGAAGTGAAAATCTAAAATATCTAAGAAATAAGAAAAGTACTTTCGAAACTATTTGAAGCACTAACGAAGCACTAAAACATAGTAACAAGTTTCGTTCATTTTAACAGATTGTCAGGGCTGACCTTGAAACTACAAAAAAATCGATATACAGAAAACGAAAAAAGCACTAACGAAAACAATTGAAGCACTAAAAAGCACTAACGAAGCACTAACAAACAACATATTTTTCCAAATAAAATTTAACACTTTAGGGGCCAACTTCACGGACCTTTTATTCACTCCTTGAAATCGTGTCACAAATTCGTTCGAAATCTTTCCGAAATTTTACCGAAATTCCCGAAATCCTTCCAAAATCCACGAAATCACTCCGAAATCCGCCGAAATCCCTCCGAAACCTTTCAGAAATTTTTCCGCAGACCCAAAAATCCCTCGCAATTGGTCCAAAATTCATAAATCGGTCAACGCGACCGTTTTTCAGTTTATACTAATACACTTTCGAATATACTTATAAGTAACAGTCTAAAATCAAATTAAAATATATATATATATAATTCTAAAGATACCATCAGCTTTTGACTATTTGGTATTTGGCAAGCATCCGGCCTGGATGAACCTGATTGGTGGAGTTTTTGGCAGGATCGTCGTTGCCATGAGGAACCATACGGTTGTCAATGAGCTAACGTCACTTTACGTCTCGCTATTGGCCAGGGCTCACGTCATTTTATCCTCCCATCTTGGAATATCGATTTATATTGAAATATCCAGTGGCGGAGGTTTGGGCATTGTCAATTTTCGTGTACGAGTTGCAATACGATCACTTTTCCAAAAAGTTCCGTACGCAGCTGGGTATTTTATGAATGAAATCAGCCATTTTTTTTTACAACTGCATTCCCCTCACCGTTGCCCCGTAGACACAGAGTCGCTGGACAGACATTAGGTAAACTTTGGACAAGGGGAACCCTTGCAAACGAAATAATCGTTAGGGTACACCTCAGATTTAGGGGACACTTACGTAGGAGTAAGTTTTGAGGGGAACCCGTGCAAACGGCCATTACAAACCCTAGCTCGGGCCAGAGACCCTTAGTTTTGTAAGACTGTCGCCCTCAGGGCATAATCATCTATTTAGTACCCTTGGATACATAAATAACTATATTACAGCTAAAACTTCAAGTTTTAGGGACAATGTCTATTCGTACATATAAATACCTTAAACATGACAATTCCACTCATGTATAAATAATCCCATTTGAAATGTCAAAAACCGTAGTTTGCTAGCGGATAAATAGGAAGGAAGAGAAAATATAACTGGATAAAAAAATCGGATAAATTTTCTGTTGATGCAATCGTTACCGTAGTAACAATTGCATATTAAATTGGTTTTTGAATCATCTGTCAAATAATTGTGTCACAAAAATTCACAAATTCGATCATTTTAGCTTAATAAAAGTGTATTTTTAAATAAAATTGGAAATATTTTCAACATGCACCGATTTGGGACAATTAATGATGAAATAATTGATAGCGAAATAGAAAATTCAATTCCTGAGAACACAAAGAGAGTCTTTTTCTCTTTCTGTAGAGTCAAATTCTAAGGGGCAAAAATGTATTCTAATTGTACCTACCTTCAATAACTGTTCATTTTAAAAAGTATTTCCATATTTTATTTTGATTATGCATTCGTGGAATTGCCGTACTAAATACCATTCGAGCTCAGATTTTGAGCAGGATATTTTTTTGCTTGCTCTCTCATACTTACTTTCATGCAATTTATCTCGATCTGTTCCACAAAATCACTCGAGCTGCGCTCTCGTGATTTTGTCGGAACAGCTCTCGTTAAATTTCCTGAAAGTAAGTATTCGAGACCAAGCCAAAAAATATCCGGCTAAATCTGAGCTCTTATGGTATTACCTACGAATATTTTTTTTGACGTTGTGATGTATAGGGTGTTCCTTTAAAAATAGTGGAGATTTTCCATGTTGAAAACCGGATTTTTTTTTATTCGCTCCGTATGTTTCAAAAAAAATTGCAACCTACTAGAAAAAAACTTTACGCCAAGAGAAATCGAATGGCGCAAACCGCAGGTAGCTATAAGCACACCTGGTTCAAAAGTTATAAGAATTTAAAATGGGTCACTCTCGGGACGGCTGGGTCACCCTGTATTGTGAGCTTTTACAGTGACGTACGCTTATATTTACCGTTGAAAAGGAGAATTATATATACAGGGTTAGTAAAAAGTACTGCAACACTTAAATATCTTCAAAACTGCTTAAGCCGCGTTCACACAATTCGGAATCTGACTGTTTTTGGACATATGGAATTTAACAGTGCTATTGACAATGTTGCCAGATTTCCCAGTTTTGCGCTACACGTAGTCTTTTTGTTATCTTAAATAGAATGGCCCATTTATTTTTATTGCAGTGAATTGGGCGTGCCAAATTTGATAAGAATCCAAACTTTCAGAATTCTATCGCTACTAGCAGCTGAAATATGACAACACCGTATTTTCGGTGAAAAGTATAGCAACGCTTGAATATCTTCAAACGCCGCTTAAGCACGTTCACAAAATTTGGTATCTGGGGGTTTTTGGGCAAGCGATATTCAACCGTGATAGTAGTAAATATGCTTTATTGTCCAAGAATACAAAAATCTTATTGACAAAGCTAACCCAACTTAAATTAAATTTTACAACTAAACCTAGAAGCCAGCAAGTCAACAATATCAATCAAATTAAAATTACCGTAGGCAATAATTTACAAAAATAATCGGCATTGTTGCCAGACTTCCCAGTTTTGCGCTAAACGTAGTCATTTTGTTATCTTGAATAGAATGCCCCATTTATTTTTATTGCAATAAACTGGACGTGCCAAA